TAGTCCTGGCTAGTACAATGCCAGTCTTGAGTACAGCCTTAAGTTATAGGGTCTGAGATGCTTTTCTGCTCACCATGGTTGTAAAGAGTGGTTATTTGTATAATAATCCAGCATGACCACTCTCCCCTGACCTTATCAACAAGACATTTTCACCCTCAGAACTGCTAATCACTGGATGTTTTTTTTTTTTAAGAAGAAGCTTTTCGTGCTATTGTGTGTAAACTCTACAGACTGTTCATGAAAATTCCAGGAGTTCAGCAGTTTGGGAAATACTCAAACTAGAAACAGTCACATTTTTTTCCTTATTCTGCTGTCTGATGTGAACATTACCTGAAGCTTGATCTGTAACTGCATGATTTTATGCATTGTCCTATTGCCAGAGGATTGGCTGATTGCCTAAATGCACAAATAAGCAGGCATACAGGCATTCCTATTAAAGTGGCCTGTGAGTGTATAATTATGAGTATGAGTAGATTAGAAAAAAAAAATTATTAAAAATAAATAAATAAATAAATAACCCTGAAATAAAATAAAAGAGATACAACCAAATTTATGCTAGATGTTAACAGAGTAGTTTACAGTGTTGGAATAAAGGTTTTAAAAATAGGTTTTTTATTTATATAATTACCAGTGTGCTTTATATAATACCAAAATGTCAAAGGAAAAAAAAAAGTGTTGGGAAAAACACACAGAAAACATAGATAATTAGAAACAAAATGACCATGTTTCCTGTGATGTCTAGCCTCAAAGTGTTCACTTGTGACCATCTGGCATGAACATAAGAAAAAGTCTAACAGACGCTTTTAATCTGTCTGTCTTAACTCAGTGAATTCTTATAATGTGGAATTAACAGTTACGCCATATGTACACATTAAGAGACAGCACTGGAAGTGGAGAGTTTGTTGTGTAGAAAGGGAATTTATCAGAAACTTTTCCACAGTCGTTTTTCAGCACATCTTTTCTGTGACTTCTCTCCAGTTGGACTGCTATCTCTGATCTCATCTTGAAATCATTTATCACATCTACTCTGTCTGTGCACATACAGTACACTCATTGATCAGCACTTAGAATAGAGGCAAACATAATCACAAAGCGAGTGAAACTGATGAGATGTCAACACGCGTGGTCCGTGTTTCTCTGTATGAGTAGCTTAACAGTTCAACTGAGGTCTCTTGGTGTTTCAGTCACATGATTTTTCTGGTGTGGTCGCCATATTTGGGACTGAATTTCTGGCTTTGCTGCACAATGCAAACATAAAAGATGGAGAAATGTGGTTAAAATTACTCAGTTTGGTAGAGAATACACAGCATTTAAACAGCAAAACAGTAAAAAAAAATAGACTGTGATCCTTATGTACTTTCCCCCAACTGCCGATTCTACTCAAACTGGCAGAAATCCTATATACAGTATAACAAGGCGTTTCCACCCACATAACTACCGCTCACTGGATGATTTTTGTTTTAAGTATTACTCTGTGTAAACCCTGGACACTGTTGTGTGTGATAATACCAGGAGATCAGCAGGTTCTGAAATAATCAATCCAGCCTGTCTAGCACCAATACAGGCTACCTAATTAACCTTTGCTAATGTTAGAAATACTTGCTGCCAAGATAATCTTCCCAGCTGTCCCATTAAGTAGCTAGCTTCACATAGCTACAAGGCAGCATGACAGGGAGGAGCCACTGCACTGCTGCTTGTTGATGATGTACAGTATGTAGTCAATTATCAGTTGTTTATTAGTTTAAATGAAAATGAATCTCCTTAATGAAGCACAGCCTCAGTGACATTGTCAGTCATCTATTCAGTCCTCAAAATGGTGCTGTTATACAGTGTGACATCACTTGAAACGGAAGGATTATACAGTGTGACATCACATGAAACGGAAGGATTATACAGTGTGACATCACTTGAAACGGAAGGATTATACAGTGTGACATGAAACGGAAGGATTATACAGTGTGACATGAAACGGAAGGATTATACAGTGTGACATGAAACGGAAGGATTATACAGTGTGACATCACTTGAAACGGAAGGATTATACAGTGTGACATCACTTGAAACGGAAGGATTATACAGTGTGACATCACTTGAAACGGAAGGATTATACAGTGTGACATCACATGAAACGGAAGGACACAGTATGGAAGGATACGTCACATGAAATGGAAATATTATACAGTATCAAGTCACATGAAAAGGAAGGATATAGAATGGAAGGATACAGTATGGAAGGATAAAGTCACATGAAACAGAAGGATATAGAATGGAAGGATACATCACATGAAATGGAAGGATTAGAAGGAGTGACATCACATGAAACGGAAGGATTATACAGTATGAGGTCACATGAAACAGAAGGATACAAGGATACAGGATACCCAATGCATACTTCCAATTATTACTTTACCATGATATTCCTTCCTCAATTCACTTTACACCATTCTGAACAGTACATATTGATTTCATCTTAAGCTTGAGATTCTCTTGAAGTCCTAATTATGATTAAATTCAGTCATTTTCAGCAGGGTCGCTGTAAACGAGGGAAAAGTGCAGATAATTCCAATGGTCATGAGTAAATAGTGAGCTACAAGTTTATCCATAAAGTTTATCCATAAACTTTATTCTGGACGATGGGATTACGCAGATTTGTGACCAGCTGTGAGACTCAGGAATGCTCTCTGCTTCATCAGTGCCAGGTGTTTCACCTGGATCTCATGAGTCATCTTTTTTTTTAAAGAAACGTTTTAGCAAAATAGCTTCAGCTATTTGTCATTTCTGCCATTTGACAGTGCAAGTGCTGCATTAGAGCTCATCTACAGAGAAATATAGCTACACTATAAGCATACATGATAAAAGTGAGTTAACTACTTAGCTTTTTACTCTAGCAGCTATTTTAACTAAGTCACTCTTCTGATAATTACAAATGATAATCAAAATAAGCTATCTGGCTATGGTGCTGTCTCCATATCCTCCACTGTAACCACTTTAATAACCTCCTGGTCAGAGTCACGGGACTCCAGCCCATTGCAAGGCATTGTGTACAAACACACAAACACACACACAAACACACACCTGGGGCAAATTAGAGTAATTTAGAGTAGCCAATCCATTTACTGGTATGTTTTTACGAGGTGCCTGGAGGAAAACCCACACAAATTCAGAAAGAACATGAGATCCTCAGCACAGACAATAACCTGAGCTCAGTATCAACCCCAGGACCTCAGAGCTGTGAGAGACCAACACTGATATACAACTTTCTCACAGTGAATGTGAAGCCAAGCCAACCAGATCTCATGAGAAATTTATTCATGTTATGTGCTAGGGCAATGTTTTGTGTGTGTGAGAATGAGAGAGTGAGAGAGAGAGACCACAAACCACAGAAAGATTTCATAAAAATTAATATTACTGCCATCATGTCGATAAATACAGCCAAACAGGAAGCCATTTCTCTGGGGGTAAGTAAGGCCAAAATGCTAAACCAATCCCAACACTCCCAACAGCTCCCCCAAAAACCTACCTTCTCTAAACATAAACAAAATGAAAGAAATGACAAAATGGTTCCGTAACTCCCTACCTAACCCAAAAATCAGGAGAAAAGTGATATAGAAAATAGCACTCACCCTGTTCCGGTAGTGGTGACAATGTGTAAACAGACAATAGACAAACATTAGGCCTTTATATAACCAACCAACATTCAATACCTACGCATTCTTCACAAACTCTCTTTAAAAACATTTACACCAATGTTGTTTAGCTTTAACACAACATCACAAGAGATTGAAAAGAAAGTCCACCATCTTGTTTCCTCAGGAAGTGCCACACCCATAGCACTCAGCAGCCCAGCATGATGATGGCTCCCCCTAGTGACAGGGAGGACAGACACAGACATGTACATTTATGGCATTTGGCAGATGCCCTTGTCCAGGGCAACTTACAATTATCTCATTTTTATACAACTGAGTAGTTGAGGGTTATGGGCCTTGCTCAAGGGCCCAGCAGTGGCGGGATTTGAACTCTCAACCTTCCAATCAGAAGGCCAACATCTTAAACACTGAGCTACCACTTCCCCAGACAGACAAGACAGTTTGAATCCCGATGATGCCACAGCCATCTGTGGCAGGAGGCCATGCTCTCAGGGAGGGGTGGCATACTCCCTCCGTCCCCTATCAATCACAGTGACACTAGCCAATCATGGACGTATGGGAGCTCATGCATGCTCACAGACGGAAGTGGGTGGATGGCGCTTTCCTCTGAGAGTGTTACATCGCACCCTGACATTGCATGAGCAGCAGTTCGAAAAGACGTGGTCAGCTGGCTTCACATGCCTCGAAGAAAGCACACGATAGCCTACACCCTTGCTGGTTGGTAGCTGTCATGTGATAGGGAAGAGCTGCCTGATGGGTGGGAACTGGTCAGGACTAAATTAGGGAGAAAAAAAGAAAACAATACAATACAAAGCACAAAGTAAAGACAAAGATGGAGGTCTACCCCCGAAGCTGTTTGGATGTTTGGATGAAGCTGTTTGGATGAAACATCTTGAAGCATTTGTCAAACGCATTGGAAGGCTAAAAACTTAAAATAGATGCTTCTACATGGGCTGTGGCACATACTGGTCTACATGAGTCACAAGTAGCTGAGAAAACAGTTCAGATGCTAGTGTACTGCAAGTACATAAGATGACTCGACAGTCACTAGTCTAACAACAAGCTGCGGGTTATAGAAAAAAGTGAGTTTGCTGGGAGAAACACAATGAAACGCAATCAGTAGAAGCTCAGGAAAAGGCAGAGTAAGCAGCTAGTCATGACTAGCTATGTAGCTGTTCTTTTTTCAGCTGCTCCCATTAAGGTTCGCCACAGCAGATCATTGGTCCACATATTTAACTTGGCGCAGTTTTGGTGGCAGATGCCCTTCTGGATGCAACCTTCCCCAATTTTATCTGGGCTTGGGACCAGCACTGGGAGTGCACTGTTGTGTGCAACCCCAATGGCTGGGGTAGGTTCCCTGGCCAGGGATCGAACCCAGGCCAGGGCAGTGACAGTGCCGAGGCCTAACCACTAGTCCTACAGAGACCTCAGTCATGATTAGCTAGGTAGTGTTAGCTAACTCACCTTCACTGTAAGCAGTAAAGTTAATACTGGTGTTGCTGTCATTGGGAGCAGTCTCCATAGTATCCTTGGTATCGATCACTGTTTCAGTATGTTAGCCATAGCACTCAATTTTACACTAACTAGCTACCATTGCTAGTACATCGTCCAGTGCTGCTATCTCTTTCATTTCTCTCTTTTTTGTTTGTTTTTGTTTTGTTTTGTTTTCTCGTAGCAGCTTCGCTAAGTTAAATTTGCTAGGAATCACACAAATGTATCGTTAGGTAACGAGTAGATGCCAAGATGCACTTCTGTGTTGTTTGATCAGTCGAGTTGTCATCACGAGAAAAACAAAAATCAAAAAGAGCCAGTTTCTTTCTTTTTTATGAACTAAGTGTACACTAAGTGGCTTAAAAAATATTAATTGTTCACTTTTACTACTGATCTTTCATTAAATATTTGCGGGGAAATAACTCAGGATGCAGATTGAGGCCATATGGTTAATTCCTCATTGGTAACAATACAAGTTTATCCAAATAAGAATAAATCAGAATAAATGAAAAAGTTAGAAAAAGGCCTGAACATTAACTCTAACCCTAGACCTAACCGCGTTGACTCAGAAACAGTATGAAGCTGTGTATATCCATAATTATATTTAATTCAGACAAGCTAGTCAAGTCAAACTTTATTTATTGAGCACATTTAACACAACAGAAGTTGACCCAAAGTGCTTTACAATAAGAAATATAATATCCAAAGACAATGGCAACAAAGACAACAATAAGAACAGTAAATTAATCAAAAACTAAAGAATAAAAAAAAAAATTTAAGACTAACTTTAAAAACACTCAATGTTGGAGAAACCCTGATGTGAAAAGGTAGACTGTTCTAGAGCTTAGGGGCAGCAACAGAAAAAGCCCGATCTCCCTTAGATTTACAATGTGAACGAGGAACAGATAAAAGAAGTTGACTACAGGATCTTAGTGACCTAGGGGCCGTGCATGGCTGAAGGAGATCACAGATATAGTCAGGAGCCATTTTGTGCAGTGCCTTGTACACAAATAGAAGAATCTTAACATCAAGGCTAGGGTCAAATCCAGAAGCCAGAAAAAAAAAAAAGTTTAAGCTAGAACAACTAGATACAATGCAAAAAAAAATGCAGAATTATTGGTACCATTAAGAGAATGGGCAAAAGTGACTGTAAAAATATTGTCACTATTAAAATGAATCAGGGCTGCAATGAAAATTTCAAATTAAAATTGGACAGAAATTTCGCCCAGGAGCATAATAAACCCCTAACACAACTCAGTGAGGGAGGCAAAGAAAACCCAAAAGATCACAGATACAGAATTTCAGTTTAGTTGATTTTTTTTTTTTTTTTTTTTTAATTTTCAGGTTTCAAACTATAACTAAGAAGACACAAGAAGACTAATACTACTAATATAACCTTCATTCAACCTTTGTGCTTTATCCTGGTCAGGGTTGCAATGTATCCAGAGCTTATTCTTACACATAATTAATGATAATTAATGCTAACCACTCATTAATGCTATGCTTATACCTACCTCTACCTACAACCTTAACTCCAGTAACCAAAATAGATTTTTAATATAAACCTGCAGTTTAAAATGAAAAAAATGCTTTCCTCATAGGAACCTGCCAAATTCCCCCACAAGGTCAAAACTGTCAGCTATTCCTGTGCTGACACACACACACACACACACACACACCTAAACACATACTGTACAAGTATATTTAAATTCCAATATTTTCCAAAAAAAAAAAATGTTGGTCTAACCACATCCCTTTATAACCTTTGGTCATTTTCACACTTGTGTTTTTTTTTCCCGACTCAGGGCCATCTGAGCATAAATGCTGTTTTCGATCTGAGGAGTGGTCCAGGAGAGAACCAATCCCTGGTCCTCTTAAAAAAAGGTGGCCTATGGTTCACTTCAGTGGAACTCTGGTGAGGAAGATATTCGCACTCAGCACCACATGCCGAGTAGTGTGATTGGTTCAACTTGTCACATAACTTCCTGTGTTTACTTTTGTGATCCCGAGGAATGGGTTATTATAGATAATGATATATAAAACCAGACTTTCATAGGACTGGAGCACTGTAATTAGCTCACCTTTGTGGTGTAAGCACTTGCACTGAGAGCACAGCAAAAAATGCGTGCCTCTTTACAACCTTATATGAGAACGGCTCCTTGTTTACACATGTTTCTGCATGATGAAATGCCATGCATCCAAAAAGTGCTGTTCTTTACTGCTTCAGTGTTGGTATGACAGGAAAATAATAAAAAACCGAGCAAAAGGATGAAGCTAGTGCCTACACTTTTGCAAACCTTCATGCAGTGACATATGGAATTGCGCAGATCCATTGCTGGGAGGGAATACTTCTATGTGAGCACAAAACTAAGATTATAAGCGCCTCCCCTAAATGAGATGATAAGCCATCCTGAGTGCAGAGTTGAGTATTTCAACCAAGTGGGAACATGCCCAAGGTGTAAGTTTTCAATCCAATTTGAATCCCTGTGATTTTTGCAAGCATTAGACCATATTCAGTTCTCTGTGATTTTTTTTATGCATTAATTTGCATATTCACAGTATTATTTACCTTCTGCACTATTTTACCTCTTGCCAGATGTTAGTCTGTACTGCTAGATGCTGCACTAGATATCACGAATCCCAACTGGCATAGGATTTAAAGTCTCAGTCAGTAATTCCTGCAACTGGCTAGTTTCTTTTTTTTTCCCCACCACTGCAATAGCTAGGTATTTCATATATAGAGAGATAAAACCAAACCATAAAGCAGAAACAATGCTGCAGGACTGAAATCCAGGATGGAGCCTTCTCTATGAGATTAATCCTGAAGATTTACAGTGCTGCATTTTGGTTTGCTGGGCTGTGCATTAATCTCTGCAGTGCAGTTTTGGTTATGAGGTGGTGAAATATGATGATTACTACAAATATATAATGTAGTGAAGATCTGTGTTTAAACTGACATAAGATGTACTGGAATTACAAACTGTACTATCATATATATGTACATCGATCAGCCATAACATACTTGGTCTGCAACAATGTTTAGGTAGGTGGTACATGCCAAAGTAACATCCACATGAATGCCAGGACCCAAGCTTTCCCAGCAGAACATTTCCCAGAGCATCGCACTGCCTCTGCCAGCTTGCCTTCTTCCCATAGTGCATCCTGGTGCCATTTCTTCCCCAGGTAAGTGATGCACATGCACCCGGCCATCCACATGATGTAAAAGAAAATATGATTCATCAGACCAGGCCACCTTCTTCCATTGCTCTGTGGTCCAGTTCAGATGCTCACATGCCCATTGTAGTCACTTTCGGTGGTAGACAGGGGTCAGCATGGGCACTCTGACCAGTCTGCAGCTATGCAGCCCCATACACAGTAAGCTGCGATGCACTGTGTGTTCTGACACCTTTCTATCATAGCCAGCATTAACTTTCTCAGCAGTTTGTGCTACAGTAGCTCTTCTTTGACCAGACGGGCTAGCCTCTGCTCCCCACGTGCATCAATGAGCCTTGGGCGCCCATGACCTTGTCACTGGCTCACTGGTTGTCCTTCCTTGGACCACTTTTGGTAGGTACTAACCACTGTATACCGGGAACACCCTACAAGACCTGCTGTTTTGGAGATGCTCTGACCCAGTCGTCTAGCCATCACAATTTGGCCCTTGTCAAAGTCGCTCAGATCCTTACGCTTGCCCATTTATTTCTGCTTCCAACACATCGACTTCGAGAACTGACTGTTCACTTGCTTCCTAATATATCCCACCCCTTGACAGGTGCCACTGTAATGAGATAATCAATGTTATTCACTTCACCTGGGAGTGGTATTAATGTATGTATATATATATTTATATACTTCGAGGGTGGATGCTCTATATATACAGTGTGAAAAAATCTGTAAGGTGTTGATATGGAGTTTTTTGTATTATTAACCTTAAAAGAGAGAAAAAATGTGAAGGCAGCCACAATGACTGTGTGATAGCTTTAAACAGATAACATGCCATTGTTTAATAAATAAAAAGAATTATAACCACTGTCAAATTGCTGTGGTCTAAGAGGAATTAAACACTTCACAACATGCTATTATTAGAAAATAAATCCATATCAAGGTGGTAACAGTAACTCTGCTTCAAACTACCATGGCTTTGATTATTTTCCTATATCAGCAGGCCCTAAAGTGTTTTATTCCTTATGTATTATGATATGCACCATTCCATATTTTATTATTTCTTTAATAGTAAGCTGTAAAGAAAGTAATCTATTTTTACTCCATCCACTATATCATTTAATGTTTCTTTTTGAAAATTTATTTTATTTATTTATTTATTTGCTATATGAGGTTTCATTCATTCATTCATTCATTCATTTTCTGTAAACGCTTTATCCTGGTCAGGGTTGTGGCAGATCCTGAACCTCAATCTCAGCAACACTGGGCATGAAGCGGAAATACACCCTGGAGGGAACACCAGTCTATCACAGAACACATTCATACATTTTCTTTTTCATTTATATTTGTTACAGTCAGTGGCAAGCATGTTACGTCCCACAGACACATGTATCCAAAATAAAAGGAAGATACAGAAATAGTCGAGGGTAACTAGCACCCAGACTACTGGTTTTCCTTAAACATTCCTCACCATCTTCCTTCTTGTGAAATATTAATCAATAAAAATATGTGAATTATTTATCAGTTGATTCAGAGCATTCAAAATAAATCTGCCCACAGGATTTCAGACAACTCCAGCCATCATTTTCAGTTCTCTGGCATCTTTTACTGTGATTTCTTTTTGGCTGGCAATGCTGGGATGAAGATTTTACCCCTGAAGAGAAGTGGAAATTGTGCACCTGCACATTTCAGGCTGGTTTTATGGACAGCGAAACAAAATGTCATTGTGCAAGTGCAAGTACAGGACAATGAAATTAACCAAAAAGCAAGGT